CAACGGAGCAGGAAGTAGGAAGCATGCGGTTTGTAGGAAAGCTGATCGCAACTCACTGAAATCTCCTCATTTTCACTGAAGCATGAGATTCTTCCTTTTCTAAAGCATGAGATGGCGTTCTTCACCTCAGTAGAACACTGTGGACACACACGACACCCTCACCTGCTCAGCTCTGTCTGACTCTCTGCCCCGTGAACTCATGAGCCAATGTGGCTGACTCTGACCACAGATTGTTTATTTCCTGGCACACTGCGCGACTGTGACACAGCGTCCTACTCCTCGGGGTTTCCTACTACGCTTTTTGTTTTTTCTTTTAATTAAATATTTATTATTTATTTATTATTTATTATTATTGAGAGAGTGGGTTTCCCAGCATGCTGGTCACAGGCTGCGTCTGAACGTCTGACCTCATGATCTAGCCCGCACTTGGCCTCACGACGACATTCTGCGATTACCGGCGTGAGCACACCCCTGCGCCCGGGTCCTGGAGTCTCTTATTCCGAGCCGCGCTATCCATTTCCTGTGGAATGCATTGTTAAGGTATTTTTTGCTTTCCTCTTGCCGTTACTGGGTTTCACAGCCATGGCTGCCTGGGGTAGGAGCGCGCGTTTGCAGGCTGGTGGCCCGAGTGTGTATGTGCTCTTGGCATGTGTGCACGCCATGGGATGTGGGTTCTCCCGGCGGTGGGGCAGCCGCAGTGACCTTCAACACACGCTTCCCTTGGGCCTTCTCATTTAGACACTCACAAGGCCTCTTGGAGGAAGAGCATGCGATCGCCAGGGCTTCATGTTCTGTGTAAAAAGATGATGTGAGTGCAGAAGCACTGGCGTAGCATAAAAAAGATGTGGCCTGCCGAGCTCAGGGCCTGTGCAGGGAGGTGAGTACAAGTGCAAAGGGCCGCAGGTGCCCCGCCTTAGACTTGCTTCTGAGAACCCTGTGCATCACAGGACTTTGAGGATGTGGGTGGCGAGCCACACTGACACTGAGAGGGACCAGCAGAGCTGAGGAGAGCTATCCCAGCCCCGACACCCGCCCCCACACAGCCTAGCACCACCTGGCACCCACCCACCGCACCACCCATCACCCACCTTGACACCCACACAGCTCGCATCCACCCACAAATCTACCTCCACCCACCACCCGCAGCACCCACCCCCTGCAGCCACCCACCTGCACACCCACCTACACCCACTTACTCGTGCAC